GGAGAGTCTATTTACAATAGAAATAGGTACGTTCCGGTATAACAGTTCGAAATTCCAATCACCTGAAAAAGTCCGGAGCGTACAACGGCTGAAACGTTGTGAATATGATGAGAAAATCAGTCCGAATAATGTAAACAGTGTAAATCATCTGTAATCTCTATTTTCATAGTGCTTGCGTGTGCGCGCAGATAATGCATGTCTTTGTATATATGCGATTATAAATGTGTGTATTTGTGATTTATGCTGATGCTTTTACAGTTAATTTAACCATTAATGAAGTTCTTGAATTATTTTTTAAAAACATAAAGATTAGAAATGAGATTTACGGAATTATGTTTGGCATCTCATACATAGACTTCATCAGAAATGAAACTGTGCGTTACACCATCAGACAAGAAATAAGCTCATTGGAAGACCTCACTGAAATGGATGTCACGTGTAACTAGAAGAGAAAATAATGACATAATGAAAATGTTAGCATTCCACATCACTAAAAGGTGAGGTAGGAAACACCCGTCAGTAGTGGAAATAACCATAACAGCTAGTGGACTTGAGAAACCTGTTTTCCTAAAATGTTGTTTTAAGAGAAAGAGTGTATCAATTTCAACCGAAAGTCGTACTGGCCTCTTGACCAATGAATATCAAATATTTCCTTATAGAGAAACAGGTAATATTACCATCACCATATCCATTGCCAAGAAGTGAAATTTGAAATAATATGGATGTGTCATAAGATGTAAAGATCTTTCCACCACAATCCTACATTACACCACCACGGCAAAAGAAGAGGCAGACAGGGGGTGGGAGAAAGGTCTGACAGTGTCAGTGAGTGGACAGGAAGATCATTCACAGGGATTCAGGCATTGGCAAAACCGAGACATATGGAGAGTACTGAGCAGATGCTTAGCTGCGAAGCAACCCTACGACCACACCTGATCATGGGATTGATGATGATGATGACGATGATGAATGAAGACATGTTTTTCTTTTTACTGAGATTAAGTTAGCATTCAAATCGACCATATCCTTTTGCAATATTAGCATCATGTCTGTCATCAGCACTAGTCATTTCGAGTCCACTGCTGAACAAATGCTTTTTCAAATACTTCCGTGACATCAGTGACTTTGCCAGTCTCTGCTAGCAAACATCTGTCTTGTTTCTCCACCTTACGTTTGCTTTTTTTTGCTTTTTTTTTTACAGCACTTGCAGCCCATTTGGGCACTGTACAGACCGGAAGTAAATGTAGCTAAAACTTCTCGGTTTTCCTTAAATACAAAGTCTCGAGAGAGATCTTGTCAAAATGACAAAGATAAAAAGATAGAATCAATGGTTTGATTATCCAGACTGTAACAGGAAATACTATTTTTAACTAATCAACTCTGCGCGAAGAATTTAAATCGCGAAAACTATTTTTAGAAAAAGAAAGACCTGGTCAAGTCAAAACGTGACAAGGCATATTATTTTGCAACTCTTGAGACTAGACAAAAAGAAAAGGGTTTGAATAAATAGTAATGTTTCTGAACCAGTTCAACCAGAGAATTAAATCTCAACAAATCTTTCACAAGCATAACCACCAAACGAAAAATTGGAAGAATGTCGGAAAAACTAAAGAAAATGAATCAAATTTTCCTTACTTGTCATATTCAACGAAACATGTTTAAAAGAAAGGTTGCTGCCCCAATGTACCTATATATATATATATATATATATATATATATATATATTGATTTGAATTGAATATATATATCCCGCGGAGCTATGTAAATTAGCAGTTTAAGAACTAGCGCAGGGTAGCTGCCCTTGATGAGGGTGAAAGGAATCTCTCTGAGCTTTGGTTAGCAATCCTTTTAGTGTTGGTTTCACGATAAAAAGACTTCAGATGGGAAGAAAAACCCATGACAACTTAAGCCGGTCAGTATATTGCATATGTCTGTCGTGTACTAGCTGATATTGACTGTGATCTGAAGAGGTTAAACTCCGCGATAATAACACATGAGGACTGTTGTTCGGAGTTTCCTTGACAAGTTTTTTGCACCGTTACTTTTTTATCGACAGATCCAAAAAGTGTGGATGGTCCGACACAAGCCTTCACCACTTGAAACAAATCACTGTGTTGATTTTCTGACAACTACATCTAATTAGTTCCACACATATCTGGCTACTGCGAAAAACTCTATGAAACAACAGCAACTTCATCTTGGCACTTGGAATGTACGAACTCTCCAGGACAACAACTCAGCACCAGAAAGAAAAACAACTTTGGTCACATTGGCGCTAAAGAAGTACAACATTGATATAGCTGCACTGAGAAGTAACCATCAGTCGACTCCATGAAATGAGAAATCAAAATAAGACATCTAACAGTGTTCTTGCTGCACTTGGATACAATACATTCTCCTGTACTGTTTGTAGTCTTTTGTGCAATTCTTGAGCCAGTCTCAAAAGTCATGCCCGTCATAGACATGCAGATAATTAGATCGTGGCCATCGGAACCTCATACGTCGAACTTGACGAGAGAGTCCATCATATATATATATATATATATATATATATATATATATATATATATATATATATATACACACACACACACACACACACACACACACACACACACATACACCAAGAAGTGCTAAAAAGTTATCGGTTCGACGCATTTCCCTAAATCAGAATTCTGATGATTGAAATATTGATTTTGGAAAGTAGTTTCACCCAAAAACCTTTGAATTGAACGTTATGTTATCTCTGTGTGTGTGTGTGTGTGTGTGTGTATATATATATATATATATGCCCATTAAGGAATTTTGTTCCTGATCAATCAAAATTCGTAAATAAGTATATAGGCCACACTACAACATGTTTGACACGCAGACTAACTCTACACCTTTCTGACCACAGCTCAATTAGATCTCATTTAAATATTCATGCTGACCTACCGGGCACTATTCAGAACATACTTGTCGACGAAACTAATATTATAGCATCATCTACGGGCAGAAAAGGCTAAAAATAATGGAAGCCTTATTAATAAAAACAAACGAACCAACACTTAATAATATTAACTTCGAACATGGACATAATATCTTGACCGTGATTTAAAACAAAAAAAAATTAAAACATTTTATAAAACATGCATACAACAAACTATTTCCAATTTTCACAGTTAAAATATAATCGTTGAAAATGACTAAATGTATTGCCGAAGGCGCGTGGATAAAAAAGAACATTCGGACAGTTTTTTTATAATTTATCACCCGAAAAGAAAAGAATTATTAGATCGCATGTGAAATTGTATAAAAAAAACTAAATAAAAGCACCTTTTCTGTCGTTTTCAATGAAATGTGCATGAAAGGATTGCTGCCTAAATACACAAATTTGAAATATATATATATATATATATAGAGAGAGAGAGAGAGAGAGATAGATAGATAGATAACATAACGTCTGTAGATATATATATATATATATATATATATATATATATATATATATATATATAGGTGATAGTTGGCGTATATCTATTTTCTTCTCTCATTTCTGAGACCCAGAACTTTGTACTTTAAATGGTACTATGTTTTCAGCCATGATGATTTTTGATTTTTCTTTTTGCCTTGATCAGTGTCTCTTTTATGACAGACCAAATTACGCCGTTGACGTTCCTTCCGCATTTGTTTGTCATTTTTGTTTTAATATCCAAACAGTTATACCTAATTGATTTCTTGCGTCGTAATTCTTCTTCTTATTATTATTATTATTATTCTTCTTCTTCTTCTTCTTCTTCACCTCCTTTTTCTTCTCTATCTTCATTCTTCTTCTTCTTCTTCTTCTTATTCTTATTCTTCTTCTTATTCTTATTCTTCTTCTTCTTATTATTATTATTCTTATTATTATTATTATTATTATTTTTGTCGAGTTTGTAAATGTTGTTTCTGTCCTCACCACCAGGTCACCATTTTTTATCCTAATAAGCCTAATCCTTAGTTCTATTTGTTAATATAATCCCGACCACTACTCACGGGTGAATCATTGAGAAACACAAATTTCTTCAGAAATCACTCTTTTTTTTTCAGTTTCATCGCTGTACTTTGTATACTTGAGGTTCTTCAAAGACCAAATTCTGTTTTCACGTTAGTCATTGCCTTTAGTTGGACTTCAGTTAATGTAAGTTAATTTAAATTCTTCAGAGATTGAGCTTCTTAGTATTGGCGTTGTCTTTCTGGGCAACACCAACTTTAGAACATGACTTTATTCATGGCGTATCCTCACTGTCAAGAATTTTCATTCAACAAAAGAATTGTGTGTCATCACTCACATCATAGCAGTAGAAATTAGCCTCGTTTTCACGGAGATAAAAGCATAATTGACAGGAAATAAAACGCACACAAATAACAGGAAAAGTTTTATGTTTATTGGTGTTTGCATTTTTTAGGTTACAATTGTTTTATGGTACATGAAATGAAAGAAAGAAATTACTCCGTGTTATTAGAAGCCATATCACAGAGAGAAGTTGGCCACGTGTTGCCCGTACCAAGGTTCGTGGCGAAGAGATTGAATTTGACTTTTTTTGCGGGGTGTCCGTATTTCTGACAGAAACAGTTTTTGTTGTATGCTGGGAGTATTTTTTTATTATTTTTAATCTTTATTTAATTTATTTTATTCAACGTTTTTATGTTATTGTTTCATTTCATTTATAATTTTCATTATTATCATTTTATATGTTATTTTTATTTATTAATAATAATATCCCTATAGAAGCAAAATTTTAACACAACGGATATTTTATTCGAATATCCACAGCCTGTCTCTAGTGGAGAATATGTTCCTGTCGCATATAAAATTGCATACTAGAGAACTATTATATGTGGATACCATAGCCAGCGAGGATTTTCCAGGGGCAGTGTTTAACTAGTCGAAATGTTACTTAGCAATACAATCAAATTTTATGATGCAAGTCGTTCTTTTACCAACAAAATAGCAACCAACCAATGTTTGTTAATCTTTACGGCCGTATCACGTTGAAACACCGGTTCTCGGACGATCACTAAAGTTAAGCAACATCCAAACTGATCAGTACTTAGATGGGGGATCGCTTAGGAATACCAGGTGGTGTAAGCTTTGATGTGCGAGTGGTGTAATAGATAATTGCTAGGCAATCTTCTGTGTTTTAATCGGTATCACACCATGCAAGGCAATAAAGCCACTAAGACACAAGAGGTTACAGGATGTAGGAGAATTAGCAACAGAAACATTAAGACTGAAAGGGAAAAGGAAAAAGTAATCATTAGAACATTGTGTTTAAATTTTTGCAGATTAAAGTTGGCTGGAAAGCATGGAGTCAGAAGGGAGTTCCACAAGTGAGAAGTGCGGGTAAAGAAACTGTTAGCATAGAACTTACGGCTATATTTGGTTAGCTCAACTGTAAATTAATGAGATCTCGATGCCAGTCGAGTACTGCGCTTAAATTTTAAAAAGTCTAGCGAAGAGCTCATCCGAACAATTACCATGAAGGTATTTGTAGAAAAGACACAGAGAGGCAACCTTACGACGGTGGGAAAGTGAATGAAGCCGAGCCGCCAGATCAGGACCAATAATATTGCTGATTCTTCTTTGGATTTTTCTTTGTTTACCATTCTCATAAAAAATATCTTAAGGGGGGAACAGACGGTATCTATTAGATTAATATCTGTTGATAGTGGGGCCCACTCCATTAGTTTGCTGTCTTTGAAACATTTTTTTTTTGACAGGATGAGCTATATTAAACCCGGAAAAATATGGAGGAATATTCTTGTTCAAGAACTTAGAATAAGTATTTGCATTTACCTTGAAACAATAATCAACTTTGATGCAACATGTAATTTTACTGCCGACAATACTAATTTTTTTACTGCCTATTATTCTGTCTTTTCTCCCGATGTCGTCTAAGTTATTTTGGTTGGTTATTTTCATGAACGATCCACCCTCTATCCCCAGCCATCATGTCTCTCCATTCATCTCTAGAAATTACTATTAAGAAATCAGTTCTTACATCTTTCTTCGCCCATCGTAGACGTTTCTCTTTGTGATGTTTACTTAAAGGTGGTACTTTGGTTGCTCTTTTGTCTTCACTCAATATTTATAATATTCTGAATATGTTCCTTTTGTTTAAATTCGCAACACCACGTTCTTTAAATATTTTCTTGCTGGTTAATCTACACGTCTTGTTTCATACAGTAAATCTCCTTTTATAAACAATTTCTTTTCTAATTTTTATCTTATCAATGTTTTCAGTTTGTTATAAATCACTCCTAGCATTATAATAGTATGTCTTGCTTAAGCACTCGCTGTTACGTCACTAGCATTTTCTCCGATTGACTCCAATGGACTTCCCATGACACACTTGGAGTTCTTTATTTAGGGCGTCTTGCCACTTCATTTGTGTTTCCGGGGACGGTTTATTTACTCCACAACAGTTTCATATTTGTTTGTTGAATTTGTTCATCTTGCAGTTTCCAACGTTACTAAAAGCTACAAAGGATAGGAAGTTGTGGAGGGCCATGACCACACGGACACCTCACCTAGAAGACGATTCTCATCACTGAATAACATAGCTTCATTTTTATGTTCTCCAACAACAGAGCGTTTGTAAATATAACACTGGAAACTGAAATCAAGACCCATATATATATATATATATATATATATATATATATATATTTTATATAAATTCCCATTAAGGAAGTGTATTCCTGATCAATCAAAATTCGTAAATAATTATATAGGCCACACTACAACTTGTTTGACACGCAGACTCACTCTACACTTTTCTGACCATAGCTCAGATCTCATTTAAATATTCATAAGGAACTACCGGACACAAGTCGTAACATACTTGTTGACAACACTAATATAATAGCATGATCTACATACAAAAAAAAGGCTAAAAATAATGGAAGCCTTATTAATAAAAACAAAAAAAAAACACTTAATAATATTAACTATGAACATGGACACAATATCTTGACCGTGTTTTGAAAAATTAAAACATTTTATAAAACATACATGCAACAAACTATTTCTTATTTAACAGTTAAAATATTTAATCCTTGAAAACTGCTTAAATGTATAGCTGAAAGCGCTCGGATAAAAAGAACATTCGGACAGTTTTTATATAATATATCATCTGAAAAGAAAAAGAAATATTAGATCGCATGAAAAATTGTATAAGAAACTAGATAAAAGCACCTTGTCAGTTATATTTAATGAAATGTGCATGAAAGAAGGGTTGCTGCCTAAATACACAAATGTGTGTGTGTGTGTGTGTGTCATAAACTGACCTCCTGGATATGTAAATAGTCAAGCAAAAACACAACGCACATGGCCTAACAATGACGGTTAGCATGAAACTGGTTGTTGCCTCTGGGTGTTGACTTCAGTATCAACTTTTATATTTACTTACGCTCTATCCCTGATATTAAACACTTTAACCCAAAAATATAAAAAATAATTAAATCTGTTTTATGTGTGTATATATATATATATATGGATATAAATCCGACAGTATGAAGAAAAATATATACGGAAAAAACAAACAAAAATCCTTATATACAATTATGCTGTTTTAATGTTAATATGTCAACGTCGGACGTTTCGGTCTAATAAACCATCTTCAGGACATATTCATAAATTATAACATTATCAATACAACTTCTTTGTCATGTTGTATTGATAATGTTATATATATATATAATATCAACAACTATCCTATTATATATATATATATATATATATCAACAACTATCCTATTATATATATATATATATATATATATATATATATCAACTACTATCCTATTATATATATATATATATATATATATATATATATATATAATATCAACAACTATCCTATTATATATATATATATATATATATAATATCAACAACTATCCTATTATATATATATATATATATATATATATATATAATATCAATAACTATCCTATTATATATATATATATATATATATATATCAATCAACTATCCTATTATATATATATATATATATATATATATATATCAACAACTATCCTATTATATATATATATATATATATATATATATATCAACAACTATCCTATTATATATATATATATATATATATAAATATCAACAACTATCCTATTATATATATATATATATATATATAAATATCAACAACTATCCTATTATATATATATATATATATATATAATATCAACAACTGTCCTATTATATATATATATATATAATATCAACAACTGTCCTATTATATAATATCAGCAACTATCCTATTATATATATATATATATATATAATATCATCAGTAACTATCCTATTATATATATATATATATATATATATATATATATATATATATATATATATCAACAACTGTCCTATTATATATATATATATACACACACACACACACACACACAACTATCCTATTTTATATATAATATATATATGTGTGTGTGTGTGTGCACATATATAGATATTATCAAAGTGTTGAACAATCCATTCAACCGAATAAATTATTGTAAATATTTCTAATAAAAACAGACATTTAAGCTGAAATTCCCAGGGCATATTATAAAGATGTAAATATCTCCTGGAACTTACTACCAATTACCTTGTGATAACATTAACTTGCATAATCTGAGATTATATCGTTTAACATTTCGTTTTTTTATTCGTTAAAGAATTCATATAATCACAGTTCTACATCTATGCTCATATGTGATGAATCTAAAGTATTTTCAAATTTAGTCAACTATTTATTGTACAAACAATATAATTATCTATATATTTCGATAATCCCAGATCTGAAAGTTTTCCCATTGCCGGCGATCGGGTTTTCTTTTGTTTTCGGTTTTAAAACACCCCACCCAGCACCTGATAGTCGTTCCCTTCTGGTTTTTATTTCATCTGAACAGTCGCCACACTAGTTTGCTTCGTATTGAACAAGGTCAGATGTGGGGATGATATTGTGTCATTTTCTTTTTTAATCTGAGTTGTCAGCCTTGAAAATCTAGGTTTTTATCGAAGCCAGAACCGCAACCTCTTACACCAGACAAATATGTCTGTAAAATATAAGCTAGGCACTAAAACTCATGCTTCATAATCCGCATATTTGTATAACAAGTTTAGTTTGATACAGAAAAAAGACAAAATGGAAAAAAAATGGAGTAATAGAATGGGCTGTTCCAATAGATTAATAAGGAAGAGATTACGCATCTTGAAAATAGTCTTTCGAAATCCTAGATTTATCTGGATTCAACAACAACATTTGGCTCCATGTACAGAACATTGTTTTGTATTACTGAAGGCATTTCTGACACTATTTTAGCTTAAAAAAATAGGTTTTGTGGGAGTGTTTAGTATTATTAGTGGATGCATTTATTACAACCTCGTGGTGTTAGTTGACACTAAGATTTAATCTTGCTTAGCATCTAATTTGCTTTCGCATTTACGAAGATGTTTCACGGCTGAGTTTACACAAGTGCATTTTCCTTTACATAATGATTGCCACTTATTGATTGCCTCTTCATACCGGTCAATTTTGTCTCTGCAAAGATGATCGATTCAAGTAACTCAGAAAGCAATGATTTCAGCAAGCAGACCACTCGTGGTCATTTTGTCGACCACTTTAGCCTTCAATATCGGACCATTCAGGCTGTTCTGATTTGAAAATAGCCAACGATTTACACGGTTTAAGACATGCTTATTGGTCTTTTCGGTGTACTTTACTTGTCAAACCCTTACCGGGGAAAAGCATTTAAAGGGATTGTAGTAGGAAAGACGATAGCAAGAACATTAGATGTATTAACCTTCCTTCTGGCTGACAAGTGACAATAAACATATATGTGAATGATACTTATCAAATCTCTCAGAGAAAACTTTCCTTCGCATTTTTATGTGGCAAGAAAGTAAAATGATTACATGGAGAAGACTGGTGATGGGATCTTACAAATTAAAGGCTGCGACTACAAATGTAGCCTTGATCACCGACTTTTTTCCAGTCTTCTTAATAGCAGTTGTTTCATAACAAAAACAAAAATAACACCGTCTTAAAGAACATTTAAAACAAAAAAGAGTATAACAACGTTACGGTCACTGTACCCTTCAAAATTCATCAAGATACTTCTTGTAGTAAGCTTCAACCTGTATGGGGCTCGGGGGAGGGCACTCAGAGGGTTATGTTAAAGGGCAGTTTATCAGGATAGGAGGGAAAGATAACGGTTAACTCTAAACTTGAACAGGTTAAGATTCTAGTGATCGGAGAAACCCTCTTGGAAGTCTGTCTGAGTGGCATTTAATTGTCACCGGATGTGGGTGGTTTAGTACAATGTATGTGACATGGCCGGTCCTTATCGTGAAAGTTAGACCTGGTGGAATCAAGGAATGTAGTTTGTCTGAGCACTTTCCTTGGAAATAGCAATAGAGCAGTGAGACGTTCACCACATCCCGCCTGTGCGAGAGAAGTTGGAGGGTGGAAAATAATTAGTCACCCACAGGGACCCGGAACGCTTTTGAACTTGAGAATGGAAAGTGAAGACTGGGCAGCACCTGTCCAAATATAACAACAAAGCAATGATCTCAGCAAGCAGACTACTCGTGGTCATTTTGTCGACCATTTTAGCCTTCAATATCGGACCATCCAGGCTGTTCTGATTTGAAAATAGCCAACGATTTACACGGTTTAAGATATGACATTTTCGGCCTGATTTGGCTCTTATAAAGGTAGAGGTAGATATATACCGAACTAAACACGTTATTTAATCTACGGGTTAGACTGTTCTTGTTCCACTGCTCATATCAAGGGATATTGTCTCGTTGTGATCTTTATTTAGTACTGCTTGTTCGTTTCCACCGAGTAAAATTACACACTGCCAGACCCAGGGATTGAACTCACAACTACTATGCCACCAAATTCACGCTTTTATCTACTATGGTATTGTTCCGAATAGTAAACAATATATAAGTAATGATAACCTCTCATTCCAGAAATTCAGAAAAATAGTTTATAATTTTTGAAAATATGTCCGTTCGTAATTAAACAAGACATTTAATAATTTGATATTTTTTGACTAATGCTAAATATTCTCAGGAGCCATCTTGTCCCTCCAGCCCTCAGGGTCTTGGCAGAACATCCAGCACCAAATCTACTCGAAGACCAGTCAGCTGAGCGCCATGTTTACTGGCATGGTCACGTCCTGCGAAGACCTAATGACCATCCTACAAGAGACATCTACCAGTTCGAACCGCCATCTGCTTAGTTAAACTTTATCACAAATAATCGCATCTCACGGTCTTTGCAAGGCGTCGGGACGTCCTCCAGCGCCAGGTCTACCGGAGTTCCTGGCGGACGACATCCTTCCAGCGGCTGCGTGGTCTGCCACGAGGTCATCTCCAATTTACAGATAGTGAGTAAACTTGGCCGATGACTCTAGCCTGGTGGTCATCAGGTCGTCGTTGGATGTGACCAAGCCAGCGCTGAGCAATCGTGCCTGCGGAGCTCGTCAATGAACACAAGATCGGACCAGTGCGCCCCGCTTAATGCTCCTGAGCCATAGAAGCAGAATAAAGTCTTGCCGAGAGGCCACATTACGGCACCGTATAGTATCACACAGAGGACGGTACCAGAATTATTATCAGCAAGCCTTCGGGGCCATTCAGTTTTTCATTGTTTTAATTTTGGGATGGTTTTTATTCTGATCTCTGATTTTGGAAGTCGGTCTCTACATTAACTTCAAGGTTGTTTTGTGTCGTATTTTTTTAATAACTGGCGCTATCCCCAATAAACTTACTCGTTCTTCTTGTATCATGTCTGTCCAGCACAAAGACGATCATGGCTCTCCACACATTCCTATTACTCAATATCTCTATGCAGTACATTGTTCTTTGGAAAGCGCTTGCCGCCATACCACGTTGAAATCCTGGTTCCCGTAAGATCACCGAAGTTAAGCAACGTCGAGCCTGGCCATCACCTAGATGGGTGACTGCTTGGGAATAACAGGTATTTTTCATCAGAGAATCGAGTTTCAATTCCAGTTGGGTTCGTTTTTACGTGCTTGGGAATGGTATGAATCAACCTCTTCTCTCTCAGCTATTGGTTAATTAGTAAGACTTGTATTAGTAAATCATTCCCCCCCCCAAATCTTACAACCTAAAAATGTTTCATGGCTTTAAATAACCTACAAATGGTTGATACACCGTAAAAAAAAAATCAATATATTCTTAAGAAAGGTAGTGGATTGGTTTTTCGCCGCTTGTCTTCTCCACTGTTCTTGCCTTCAGTGTCCTCCTTGTTATAAACTGGCTGCTCTTGAATTCATTCTGTTCTACTGTTTAATCCATTTTCAGTAATTAGGCCACATGAACCTTCTTCTTAACCCGTTTTTATATATAAATAACACTGACATCTTATTTTAACAGATATATTTACCAAAGTCTGTCTATATTTCTGAGATGAGGTATTATGTACATTATTTACATTATTCGGACTATTGTCCTCATCTTTGTCGCCATATTTATCACAATGTTTCGGTCGTTGTACGCTCCGGCCTTCTTCAGGTGTCGAACTGAACCCTTTATTTTGCTCACTGGGGTAGACTGTTCTAGTTCCACGTGCCATGTTTGATGGATGTCAGTTATCAGTTATTTCCTGTTAATTTCCCTCTGAAAGTTCTCCACTGCCTTAACCGGGTATTGAACTCACACTCTATGGGTCCTGTCACTGGATCTAACCAACGCCTTTATCCACTGTGATAAATATGACAACAAAGATGAGGACAATAAAGTTATCTCGAAATACTTAAGAGTAAATTTATTAAATAAAATCGCCAATGACTTCCATCACGGTCTCCAGGTGACTTCGGAATCTCCTGCAACTCTTCTGGACGGTCTCCTTGTTTAAGTTAGTGAATGCTGCCATAATCCTTGCCTTCAGTTCATCTTTGGTGTTACAAGTTTTGATGGTGTCCCGCTCAACTGCACCCACATATCAAGGGGGTTGCAGTCTGAGGTGGTCAGATGTTAGGGGTGATGCAATTACAGAAATTGTCTGACAGCCATGACTGGGTTCTCCTGCCTGTGTGGCATGGTGCAGAGTCTTGTTGCCAGACATAGGGTCTTCTAGCAGCCACCCTCTTGACCCAAGGCAGCGCTACCGCCTCAAGTAGAATGGTGTTGAGCGGTCTTTGACTGCGCACGCCTTCTGTCGAACTCTCTGCGTCAGCAGAGAGGAACCCGGACGAGGCTTTGCCGAAGGGCAAGGTTTCGTCCGTGGAGGTAGACAGGGCCTGAACCCGTCTAATCGGCTTCAAAGGCTATTTTTTTGGCCGAGCCTACGGGCTCGGAGAAACCCACAATAAAACCGGCCTTGTGCCATATTCGTTTCTCGTGGGTGAAATGATAAATACCGGATGGTGGCCACCGTGTTGAGTCTGAGACCATGTGGGAAGATGAATGGAGACATAACGTTGCCATCACTCGTGACAACTCCAAATCCCTTCGTACTCACCATTAGACTCATCTAATTCTTTACGAATCCTCTGCACTATCGTCAGATTGACTTCCCTAACACTCTGAAATGTTCGTGTCTTAGCTTTCGACACGAATGCCAAGCAGTGCAGCATGCCATTTCGAAATTTCTGGCGGTGTGATTTGCGTCATGGTGCTCTTTTTCTCACAGACAGTGCCCAACTGACCCTACTATACTGTGTAGTCGAGAAAATAAAAAAAAATTGCGGATGCGCGAAATTAAAAAAAAATATGGCAACAATTTATTCATCACACCCTATATATATATATATATATATAGAGAGAGAGAGAGAGAGATAACGGTTAGCAAATAAATCTTTGACAAATTGATTCTCTTCTTTTTTTGTCTGGCAATAATAACTCTTTTTATAATCTAAAGTGACAATCTGCCCCATATGTAAAAATAGCTGCTAGCTTCCTGTATGATAAGTAATAAACCATAATAACATGATGGATGTCTTTTTTTAATCTCTTTTTGACTTAATTAATTCTTTCAAGTATCTACTTTTCGTCATGAAAAGATTTTCAATTTAACTCGTAACGAATCCGTTTATATTAAACCAAATACACAAAATGTTTTGTTTTTTCGTTGTATGTTCGGTTTTTAAACTTCCTTTTCTCACTCGATATGCAGCAATGACACGGTCAACGTTTCTCGTTGAAATAAGGACACTCAGTTTGCACTAAGAACTTTTAAAAATAAATTATAAAAACTAAAAAGCAAATGCGAGGATATAGGGTGACATTTAGATTATGTCGCTGTCTCTTGTCTAAATGTTGCTGATTAACATCCAAACTCACCCGCTAAGTGCCAAATATCCGGCGATTAACTATATTCTTAACTATAAAATCCACTGGGAAGTCAGTAAATTCGAAGTAGGTCCATGATGAAAAAAAAAAACAAAACATTTATTTTACATAACAAATATTATTTGTCGACACAATCTCATTTCTTGCCAGTGTCCATATTTATCACATAAATCTGGGAGGAAAATTTCAGATCAAAATCCAGTAAATAATTGCGTGTCAAACTGAGGTCTTATTCAAACAACTTACCGAGTTGTTAAGGAATTTTCCATAAACGAGTTTACTCGGGTGATTACTTTGTATTTACCTCTACGATGTGCAAAACAGTAAGAAGCATTCTGCTATGAATTTATTGAAAGCTAGTTCAGTCCTTAATGTCAAACATACGCCTCAATGTTGAAACAAATGCTTCCTCGGTGATTGATAAGTACCAAAAAATGAACAGAGAATTTAACAAGAAAAAGGTGAGTATGAATTAACATGTTATTAGTTCCTGCAGAAATATGTATGCACGAAACCCAAGTGCCGGAACGATTAAATTATTTCCTTCAATTTTCAAACAACTCCCCACTTGACACGATGTTTATTTTCGTACGGCACGGTTGTTATTTTTGAATGAAAAATCCACACTTATTTTAAAAGCTTAAAAATTCGTACCAGCTTTTTTCTTCCTGGCGACATTTGTATTTGGATGAAATTAAGTTTTAAAAGTGTACAATACGTTTGTATTGATTTTTCTATTGAATATTTTTCCTTTTCTTTATATTAAAATTTGTTCTCAATTACCTTGTGAGCACACACACGCGCGTGCGCGCAGTGGTCTTAGCAGAGTCTCTTGAAATGCACTGATATTTCATCATTTAATCAGGGGTTGTGACATTTTTCAGTGCTTCCCCGTGTGTGTGTGTCTGTGAGAGAGAGTCAGCTTGGACTGAACTCACCATAGAGTAGTCATAGTCTTTTGGCCTAACTAGTCCATACTTGCTATGCTGCGAGGTTACACACACGTGTGTGTGTGTGTGTGTATATATATATATAATACTAAAGAACTCCGGATTATTTACCTAACGTGTTCTTTCCTATTTTTCTACATATCTGCACTTACATACATACATACATATATATATATATATATATATATATATATATATATGGAGAGAGAGAACGTATATATATAAGAGTGCTTTATTGTAGATTGTTTAATAAGAGCATTTTAATAGACGAGAAAATAATTTTGTTTTACTTAATCATTTACAGTGTTGTTTCAAGCTTAGCGATTTTCAGTATGGCTGACTAAATTTTAATTTTTTTTGCCGAGATAGATTGTCCTTTTTAAGGTTTTTCACGTCGGTGTGCCGACATACGAAATAATTTTCACGTTCTTCAATTCTATAAGCTCTGATTTCTTGTACAAGCATAGATTGCAATATATTCCAATATTTCTACTTAAGTGTTTCTTTTTATTTTAACTCCATTCTATTAATGAGATTTTTGCTTTAATTTTAACTCCCATATATATTTTGAAAATCTAGTGTTACTTTATATATTTTGTGTTTGAATGATAGTAAATGATTTGCATACCTCTCTTTAAATTATTTCCCAGTTAGAATGAGGTAAAATTGACCTGAACGATGTCATGAAAAATGATCAAAGTGTAACAGCCAAAAACAAGCGGACTGACAAGTCAGAAAATATTTGGTGAAAACTGCGATTGTAAACCAAGAGAAATAATGTAGAATACCTATATTTAGCATGAAACTTATAAACTTGACAAAGCTCAGTGTAGTTTTAAAAAAGTAAGCATATTTTAAGAAGGCTCACATTTTTTAACGCAACTAAAATTTCTTATAAGAGTTACATATTAAGTATAAAACAAGTATTGAGTATTTGCTATGACGTGACCCAGCTGAGCTGCAATAACTTGATGCTATTTTTTTTAAAGCAGTGCCTTAAGGATATTGCTAAAGGTATTAAAACAAGAAAAATGCTACATTTAAGTAAATATAACAGTTATGTGCAATTTGGGCGCAAAGGTACATGAGAAATTATTTCTAGAAAGTAATTTTTAGCGGTAAATGGTGAGTCATATTGTATAAACCGGATGACTTGTCTAGATGTTGGACACTTGATGATAATAATAACCAATCAACATAGAAGACAAGAGGTGCTAGCTTGATACTTCCAGTTAGTATTGTAGATTAATTAATCATTTCAAAATTATTAATCATTTCAAAATTGATGACGATGTCTAAAGAGAATTATTCTTAGTTTTTGGAAGAGATATATTTGCGTCGTACAATTCACACGGAAGAAGCTTTAAGCTAACAAAGATCTTCATGTAATACAATGCTCCTTCACATTCTGTAAAGATGACTGCTGTCCACCTTATCACAAAGTTTTCAAAAGTACAAGAATTAAGAGAATAGCACTATCAGTGGTTACAGATATTAATTCAACCGAAGACATATGGTGCATCATTAAAAGACATTTATATGAGAATGGAAAACAATCTTCGGGCAAATATAATTTGTAGAAAGCAATAAAAACTCGTTTGATTCATTTTAAAATCGAAACAGTAGAAATGCTAACAAAATCAATGGTTGAAAGACTTATGAAGGTTGTAGAATGCAAAAATAATAATATAGATGAATTAATATATAATAAATTGTTC